CCACAATACTTACTGATTGGTCATATTTTTAATGTTGTTAATCTTTTGGTCCTTAGCAGGTGTTTGTAGAGAAGCAGTGAGGGCTGGAGACCTATTTATACATCCCATAAACCTTGCCAGAACAGTCATTCAGAATTTCTTGGACTGTTTTTGTGCTGTGCTCAGACAAATGTGACTCAGCATAGCACAATCCAGCCTCTGTTCACCGAAATGAGAATTGATACGGGCATACATGTTACCCAGAACATGAGTGACACATAGGGATCATGTTCAGTTGTTCTCTGAAAAGCTGAAAAGCTGCTCTTGACTCACTGCTGGCTGGTAGTAACGGATCTCTCACTTTAACTTCAGCACCTCTTAAATTCCATTTGAAGCCATTCATTTTTAACTACATCTAGATAGTGTGTCAGAGCTTTATTGTGAGGGTTTAATCCTTTCACTACTGAAAAAGCAGTATTACTTACATATTACAGAGATACTTTAGCTGGGAATTTTTATACTGGTTAGCTAAAGAGCTGCAACTATGAGCAGTGGTGCCCAATTTTGGGTTTAGATTCAGAAGGAACTTTTACTTCCTGTGGTGAGAGAGGCACAAGAAAGAAAAGAGTCGAGCAGGACAGTTGCATTCATTCATTCATTCATATTAAGTAATTCACTCTCTTACTCATAAGATTGGAGACATGGATATGCCCAAACGTCTTGTGACTTACTCATCTCCACCAAACCCCTTCAAACATAAATGCCAGAGAGTGGTGTAAATGAAAGCTTTGTGTGCTCATGTGTGGTATTTCTAATGGCTTCTCTGTCTTAACTGTCACACCTCAGCCATCCAAGGCATGCGGCTGGCGCTGTATTGAAGGCCTCACGAGTCCTCTAAATACCAAATACAATTACCATTCAATATAAAGCCACATAGAGACTCACACACACTGCCCACACGAAAGTATCCCGGACCAAGCTGGGTTTAGTGTGCTGCCAGTCTGGAGTCAAACCAACAACCCACCTAGAAGGAGCCAAACCTGCGCAGGCCGAGCCAGGCTGCTGTCGGCAGATTTTTTCAAGTATAGTTTTGTTACATTCTTCCTCACAAGGTCACTCAGTGCTTTGAACCTACCAACCTTATACCCACGGGTTATTTTGATGTGGCTTCATCATCCTCCTGTTAGAAATATCCCAACACCACACACACGCTGCTTTAATGTGAATAATCTCCATCATTTAAATTAGCCCCAATAAAATATTAGATTAAAATTTTTGTAGTGAATCATGAATAAGTTCAAACTTTTTTTTTTATTGTGTAGCAAAAAGCACAAAAGGGAAAGATGATTTCTTTCTTTTTATTATAATTGTATTAGTTAAATCGGATTTTTTCCTTTAATAATACATTTGGTGCCTAAATATTTAACGCTTAAAAGTCATCCTCTCAATCACAACATATTGTAATGAAAAAATAAATGATAAATGATTAAAGCTGAATTATAATAAGGGTTTAATGGCAAAAAACGTTATTTTTAGTTTATAGTATTCATTGTGTTTTACATTTCACATTTTTTAACAGAAGTTGTTTTTGGCAAACTCAGAAATTGTATTTGTTTGCTTTGGCCAACACATTTAAATAGTTATAAATGTTTTATTTTAGCAGGAGTAAAACCTGATCTGATCAGTTGTTCCAGATTTATTTGCAAAAAAGTGAATTGGATGATCAAGTTTGATTTTTTCTTTTCCTTTTAGCACTTGTGCAGCAAGCTTACTTGATTTGTATTGCATTTTTCTGCTCTCAAATTTGGCTATTTTGAAATCACACGGTGAAACCAGATGGATAAATCAACAGAATCTGTTCCTCAAACGTCCTCATAGTTTCTGCTTAACACTCATTTTTAAACACCCCTGCCCCACCCCTCCGTCTCTGCTCCAATGGCCCTAATTCAGAGCCTTCTTACCTCCCTCTGAGATCCTGACCAGGTCTTCTTCATGACCATCTAACCTCTAATGTTTGTCCTACTTTGCCTCCAGCAGTCTCCCACCGTAAGAAGTGGTTAGCAGGTTATGCTAGCCGGACCGTGTCTAATGTGCCTAAATGGCCCTTGACAACCACAGCGACCTGCTAATGACTGGACCATCCTGTGGTCGTGGTCACAGAGAACTGGTCAGTTTATGGTCACCCCTTAATGTCTGGACTGGGCTCTGGCAGCAACTACATTTTGCCTCTGTAAACTAAGGCGAGGAGGCAGCTCGGTGGCTGCTAGCTGGTTTAATCATTAGATGTAACTGTTTTGGTCTCTTGTTTCAGAAGGAGCAATCTCAAGACTTTGTTGCTCCGAAATCATCTCTGTTTTAAATACAGTTGGACCAGTTGAGGTAGGACAATCGTGATTTGAGGATTATTAAACATTTTCTACAGTAATGTGGTTCATTTCCAGTTTGGCTATCAGTACCCATCAGTGCTGAAATGTTCTGGGCTCTGAACAGACATAGTTTCATCTGTAACCCCCCCCCCCCCCCCAATTCCCCCAATTCCCCCAAAAGTTTCAGATTGAGCAGGCACACTAAGCACAAATGTGACATTTAAATTTCAGGTTGAACTAATTTGACTGAAAACTTTGAGAACTGTGTGAAGATACGCGTGGAAGGTGTGAAAGACGTGCCTGCATGCTCGCTCAGGGTTGGATTGTGTTCTCTGTCCAGTTGGATCCAGATTCATTCGAGGGATTTCTTTCCTTTTTGATATTTCATACTTCAGTCTGACTTTTTTGAGACAGTAGTTATCTGCTTTATCTGTAATATGACCACACACACTTTCTGCCATACTTCCCGTCGTTTTAGAGGCCTGCCGTTGTGTTTTTATTCCAGCATTCCTGGTTTCTATAGGAATGTCAGCTATGTTTCATTCAGCTTGAATCCCATTGAGACAAAGAAAGGAACTTTGCCAGTACTGATTTTTTTCCTTGTGTGTGTGTGTGTTTGTGTGCGCGCGTGTGCGTGTGTTTGTAACGGCTCAGAGGTGGAACTTGTATCAGTTATTTGAATACAAATGAACTCTCACCGTCACTTTGTGTACAGTAAAGTGTTTTGTGTGTGTGCGATGTTAATCATTGACAAGTCCTTCCTGGGAAAGGGGCTGGGCTCTGTGCGGTCGTCCATGTCACCAAGTGAGAAAGAAAGTTAAACGGAGGGCAGCTACCTAGTCGTTGGACAACATGAGAGGGCATGGTTTTTGTGTAAGGTGAGAAGCAGTGACACAGCATTTAGACAAACAGTGAGCGGACAGGTACTCTCAGTCACGCAACACACTCTTTTGTCATGGTGTTTGCGTGTGTACTCAGCACACGTTGATTCAGGGGAATATGGTTTTCCTGTGCACACAACTGTCGTCCTAATGAGTTGTATGTGTGCCTGAACTGTATGTATGGGTGTGCAGATGTGAGGGCAGAGTGATCCGACTGGAGGATCAGTTGGGAGGATGTGAGCCTGTGGAGGAGACAGTCTGACTGGGTCAATGCTGGGAGTTTCTCGACTTCTCTCACTGGGGTGCAAAGATCTTTCTATTTGTCTTCTGCTGGAGCGATACATGTTTGAGCATCAGATCTTTTTCAGTTTTAAGTCATGGGAGTGTTTTCTGTTCCAGTGTTTTTAGGGATGCTTATTGTATATTCTATTCTTAATTGGTGTCATCTAAAAGGGAGTGCACTTTTCCTTTAGAAGACATTGCAGTTTCCTGTTGCCTAACGCACCAGTGTCCTGCCCTCCCACGTCCAATCATGTCCCGTCCTGCCTTGTCCCATGCTGATGTGGAACTTCCAGCCCCACCCCAGGTTTGCCAAATTGCTTTGCTGCCTCATTGCGTAAAGCCAAAGTGCCTCCGTGCGTCACTGGGAGCACCCTTCCTACACGCACATGCACATTGAACAGATAGAGAACAAAGTATGACCCAAATGTGTGCCGTTGACTTGCCTTTATTTACACACATCACACAGACTTGTTTGATCATCTCCATCTTTTCATATCTACTTTGGTATTTGTCAGATGGAAAGTTACTTGGCTCTTCCTTCATAGACTGCTCAGTGTCCTATTTGGTCACACATTGTACCAGCTGACCAGGTCTGTAAGTCAATTTAAGCGACCAAGAACTATGCCTAAGTGAAGATTTACCATGCCAGTATCCTATACTTTTTTCTGTAATTTAATTTTTTTTTATATTGGCCAATGGTAGCTCTACACCACAAAATGCTGCATATTATGTCTGACTAACAAAAAGTTGGCAGCTTAACAAAGTTAACTAAGCAGCAGACATTAAACCGGCACCACTCTTCCTTCCTTTGCTTTGCTTTCTTACTGGAAGCCTAATTTAAGCAATAAATAAAGAGGAGGTTGATATGTCAACCCGACTGGACCATTTCAAACAGTAGGACCTCATGCCTCATTTGTATAATGCCTACAATGAAACTTTAATATTGTAAATCTGGATTTTGAACATAGGGCACCTGGAAATAGTGAGGAGGATCAGGGATTAAAACTTTCCTGTAATTAACAGTTTCCATCACTGATACCAAAAGCACTGCATATATCAGGGATTTCTCATCTTAATTGTTTAATTAGTTGTCTGATGACACTAAAATTGCTTTAAGGTGCTTCAAAAGAACCAATATTTCGATGTAGTATGTAGACATTTGAACAAGTAGACATTTTAGCTAAAAGGACATTTTTCACCCGGAAAATCAGTTAGAACAATAATTTTATGCTAATTGTTGATGAAAAGTAGATAAAAAATTGAATCAGCTATGAAATCTTTGTGAACTAGTGTGCATACTGGCCTACATAAACTGTCTGTACATTGACTCATTTCTGCCATTTTTGCCTTTAATGAAGGGGTCTTCCTCTGACTCAAAATACTTCCAAGAGCTTGATTTGCTCCCACTCAGTGATTTTCCCTTTCTCCTTTCTCACTGTTTGCCTTTTTCTCCATCTTGCTTTCTTTCTGTCTTTCTTTCTCTGTTTTGCAGGGACCACACATAGCATCGGTGACCCTGGCAGCCTATGAATGTGGCTCTGTGGATTTCCCTGAGCCTCCCTATCCGGACCAGATAGTCTGTCCCCAACGGGAAGCTCCACCATCAGGCTCTGAGGCGGAGCAGGTGGGCGTGGAGAATGTGGGGGCAGACAGGGTGATGGGGACAGCAGCTCTCCAGGGAGGCATCTCCCTCTGGACCATCGTCTCAAAGGTTCGCCTGGAAGCTTGTATGTGGGTGAGTGCCTTTAGCAGACCGACTGTGGACTTTTTCACACATCAAAAGCTATTTCATAAGCAGCATCCACACAGAATAAGGCTTTTAAAAATATATTTAGGTGAGAACCAAGTTTCCAACAACCAAGATCACTGTGATTTTTTAAAAAAAATTTAAGAGTGTCCAGAGTGATTTTTTTTTTTTAAGTGTAACCAAACAGAAAACCATACAAACATGAATAAAAATTAGAGCTGTTACAGACCAAGGGAAGCTGCCATATTAGGTGAACAACAATGAACACACCATTTTTACAATAAAAAAAGCAATACAAATGGGCTTTATGTGCACAACATGTTTATGTGTGAATGACTCCCTCTGTTTAAAACCATGCTCACTATTTATTTATCTCTGCTCTCACCTATCTTATGGTGCACTAGCTTTTTTTCGATTCTTCTTTTTACTATTTTACTTTTCTGTTCCCCTCTGGTGAGAAAAAATACCGCATATTTGCATTGGGTGCAAATTTTACATACTGATAACTCAGTTTTTTGGAAAACCCCTGGTCTTTACTCTGAATTTTCCCCCAAACAACGTCAAAGGTTTCACACATCTAACTATTTATGTGGCTACCAAGAAAGATAAAATAGTTTCTGTCAGTCAATTTATTTTAGGGCTGAGCAGACATATTTTTACCACTTCATTTTGAGAAAAAGTATAAATAGCTCGTTAAACTTTACAGTGTGTTCAATGCTTTTTAAAACCTTGCAGTTTGCACGAAAGCAGTCCTTTATTCTTGGGTGTTAAGTTACCTTTAGACTGGGCCTCTGGTGGTTTATCAATGACTCACATATGTGTCACTGCTACCGTGAAACCAGTGACAAAAGCCAGTCACACAAAGACAGGATGTATGAAAACACAAGAACAGACAATTGCCACACTGATCTAAAAGTCACATTTCATTGCAGACTTTGTTACAGAAACAGTTGCTTATCAAGTCCATTTTTATCTCCAGTTCACTTTTATTCTGCTCATATTATAAAGACAGAACTGCTGAGTAATCAGAAAAGAGAACTTACTAAATGATACACTCAGTGATTTTTATCGCTCTTTGTTATCTGCTTCCCTGTTCTTCTTAGTGGGGACTTTCAGGGGGAAATAGAGATCCCCCGTTACTTCCTCTCTGCCGGTTCCTTTACAGGAACAGAGCAGCTCGCTCTACAGTAAACGACCCTCAGGCTTCCTTGTGTTATGAGTAAACTAAGCGCTCATTCATACATGCAACAGCAGCACGATCTGAGGAGTGCTATGAGAGTCTATGAGAGTGTTTGTGAACATGTCTCTGCCAGCTGGTCCCATTGGATTCAAAGCCACCCACGAGGCTTGTCAGCTCTACAGTTGGAGACACCTGTTGCACACGCGTTTTCAAAGCCCCCACGCCAACATTTCCCCTCCTTCTGCTAGCCTTCTGAATGCGCTGGGGTTGAGACATGAGACATTCCCCTCCTTCTCACTATCACCACGTGCCTCTTCTCTCCTCTTCTCTTTCCCACTTTCTCTTTCCTCCTGTCTTTAGCCTTTCTCGTTCCCTCTTGAGGTCCCCTGCAGGCGAACCCCTAAGTGCTCCACTTCAAACGACCCCACGACGCAGGTGGACGTGTTTCACTGCCCGTTGCTCAAACACCAACAGCCGTATGCTCGCAAACAGAGGCAGAGCTTTTGAATGGAGCAGCTGCCAGGGAGATTAAAACACGTCTCCATTATGAGAAAAACTGGCAGATTTCATCAAAGACTTCTGTGTTAACAAGAGAACAGGATGTCCAGATTAAAGATGCGGTCTGCCAGATTTGGGGATAGCATCGCCTCTTGAGAATGATTGTTTGGTATTGTTGCCGCTGCCATGGTTGCTAACTACCCGCTAATCATCTTTTGGCTCTGCCATTGAGTAACGTACCAGTAAAGTGCCTGTGATTAGTTAGTTACGATCTTCTGGGAGAGAGATCGATGCTGCGATTTGGGTGTTCCACCTTTACTCTTGGATTTCAGATTTCTTTTCTTCTCGTTACTGTCTCTGTTACAAATGCTGTTTGGGACCAGTTCAGGCTTGAAATTATGCATTTGTGATCTGTAATTGTAACTTACTGTAACCGTATCTTCTCATCTCCCCTGAACCCATACTCGGCCCCTTTTGTGCGTGGAAACATTAAAGTAATGAGCTGTGAGCAACTCTGAAAACACTGCATTTCTTGGCGGTTGTTTTCATTGCGTTAATTAAGTCTGTAACCCTCTTCTCATGTTTTGGCTGATGAACCTGGTGAACCGACCAAAGTGCTGAGGATTTATTTTCCCCAAATCACTTCCGCTCTCTTTCTGTTAAGCCGTCTTCAATCACACAGGCTCCAGCGCTTTATGGCTGCAAGCTCCTTTTGGCAGTTGAACTGTTTAGAGGACGCATATGGCTTTTCACCTACACTGGGGCCGAGTGTAATATGTCCACAGTCATTTAAAGATCTGTGGGATTTTCAACCTTGTTAATCTTTTCCATTTCATCACAATTAGGAGCTGCAATCACAAAGGTTTAGAGACAAAGCAGCAGAAACTTATCTTAACTGTGGGTATTGTTTTATATCAAGTTTAAATACTTGGTCACTGCTGCAGATGTGCATTTCATAATGAGATCTGAAATCGTAGTGAACCAAATATGGCATTTTTACACCCAAACTACTCATTGCATTGCCATGGATATAATTCAAAGCAACAGAATGAAATTATGCTCATTAAATAGAAATTCAATAACTATATTTGCTCAAAAAGATAAATGGAACTATGAAAAACTCTTTTGTAGTTCTCTAGAATTTCTTGTTTTTTTTTGGATATTCAGTTCTGTCCTTATTTATTTAAAGACAATTCGTCAAACACTAATGGATTGTGTCTACACTTAACAGACAGTAAGGCAAAGAATAACTTTGAAACTACTTCTGATGAGCAACATATGACATGTTTTTTTGCTACTTTTGCTGATATCACATAACATAGCAAATAGGTCACCAATTTTCTCCAATAAGGTGTTTCCCAAAGAAACCCGATTAAATTATTATTATTTAAAATCCTATTTACAGCTAGTTAACAAGGGTCAATAAAAGGCACAGTGTGGATAATCATCATACGTAACATAATGGCAGTCAGCGTCCAAAGAAGAACTTTGGGATGTCCTTAAAGAAGTCTGGAGAACTATTCATGAAAACTCCTTAAAGAAAGCACACAAAGCATCTCTAAGGGGTTCAGGGCCTGCCTGTGATTTTGCCTTTTTGTACTAAGAAACCATTGGTGGCTCGGGACCTGACCAAGGTTTGGAGAATTATTGTTATTTCAAATTCAGCAGTCATTCAGATTTGATGTTTTGTGTGTGTTGATGTGTGTAAACAGGGTGCTGGCACAGCTATAGGAGAGCTTCCCCCCTACTTCATGGCACGAGCAGCTCGACTGTCGGGCTCTGAACCGGATGATGAAGATTATCAGAAATTTGAAGAAATGCTGGATCAGACTGAGTCTGCACAGGTGACACTCTCTCCTTGTTCCATCTGTTACCTCCATTCTTCATCCCTCCTTTATATCCTACTGTACTCAAATTATGAAGGTCTCTGCCATTGTATTCAGAGGTTCTCATCTTTTCTATAGATTTTCTAACATTCTTTAGCTTCTTGACACTGAAATCTGGCATGCCAGATTCCAAACATTGCTCATTTCTGTTGGTTGACAACTCATAGAGCCCCACCTCAGTTTCTCAATGGTACACCCAAGAATCAAGTGTTTCACAACATTATGATTAAGAGAACAGCAGCGATGCTCTTGAGTAAAACCCTCTTGCCTTTTCCGGCCTTCATTTAGAAATTTCCTGTGAAAAAATGCATTCATATCAAACATCTGCCCAATTGTTTCAACAATGGCTAGCAGTTCATTGTAAATATTTATTTTCTTCCCCCCTGTCATAATGAATGGGGAAGGAGGAATGAAGGGAAACATCGTGTGGTTTTGGAAAGGCTTTTCATCAGACCTGTCTGACCAGTGTTCATTTTCAGGAATGCTTTTTCTTTCTCTTCCAGAGTGGGTCAAACAGTCAAATAGGCCAAGTTCAGTCAAACTATTGCATCCTTAAATGGTTTGTTTGGAACTTTACGACCGGCTCGCTCTTACATTTACAGACAGGACCAAACCAAGAAAATAAACCCAAACTTTACGAGGTATTCCAGCAGCATAGCAAAATTATTGACTTTTTTACAGTTTGTAATTTAGCTTTCATTAGAATCAATTATGATATAGCCAGTTTAGATATTTATGCTTCAGATTCCAAAGAAAATTATATTTCTTGATTTAAGTATTTGCTTGTGGCTAAAGCATGTAAAATATACAAAATACACACAGGCCCTCACATGTACTATATTTTCCACATTATTTCCACTAAGAGTATCTCATTAGTAGTATGTAAAGTTTTTTATTTCGGACCAAAGCAAAACTATGTATTTATTTATTTAATTATTTATTTATGTGGATCTCTATTAGCCTCCATAAATTGGTTTATAGTGTTCCTTGGGTCCTCACAATTATTCAACAACAAAAAACATAAAAAGGTTACAATTTCATGATGTAATAAGACAGAAATGACAAAAAAATACTAAACAGATTACATATGATATTTACGAAATAAAGTCAGTCCGAATATGAATCAAACAAACCAGAGCCAGTTTAGTAGCAAATGCAGAATATGAGAAAAATTCATGAATTAGTAATAATAAAGTTACACTGTTACATTACTTCTGCTGATCCATATAAAGAATCAATATCAGCCTATACTTTATTATTGATCAATAATCAATAAGGACATCAATAATGTCCCAAATCTGTTAAATTACTTGTTTATGCTGTCCAAGTAACGTAAGTTCCTTAGAAACTTTTGCCCTGTTGTATTTGTGGAGACCAGCTGTTTTTTTGTTTGTTTTTTTACAAAAGCAGTCTGCTACAGGTGATGACACACACATCCTGTCCTAGTTGTTCTCCTTTTCCTGTCGTATGCTCACATGAAGCTGAGTAGAGAAAGGCTTTTATGGTATATTATTCTTGCCGCTATTCTGTAAGATATGGATGAGTATTATTCAGTGAGTATTTATTGTCCCGTAGACTTAATGAAACAAAGGAATCCCGGGATTAAGTGGAAAGATGAATGAGAGCAGGGATTCTGCACCTGATTTAGGATCTGCTGCTTTTAATACTGTGGACAGCTGTGTAGGCAGGCACCAGCATCAGTCCCAGAGTTCAGACCACATGTGTGAGAGTAAAGCGCTGACATCACATACTGATACAGACGCGCTACTCACTGAAGAGAAAGAAACACAGCGAAGGTGGAGGATCCACGAACGGGCGGAGATCAGAGGCAAAGATTTCATCCGAATGACCAGAAGAGCCCGATACGTGTTTATCCCCAGTAAACCAACAATGTAACGCAGGAGGAGCATCGCCTGTTTGTATCGCTTCTGGAAAGGCAGATTGAAGGCAACGCAGCTGCTGCAGCATTAGTCTTACTGTCTCTTTAACACTTTCTTTTTCTGTCCCTCTGTTCCTGTCCTTGCATCTTTTCTCAGTAGCCTCTCATCTTCCTCTGTGCATCGCTCTCCTTGTCTTTCTGGCTCTTTTTCTTTGCAGCGATGTGTGTGTCTGTGTTTGTTTGTTCGAACAGCATCCGGACGCAGGTTGTTTGTACCACTACGGACCTGTGGAAAGTTTTTTTACCCTCTCCAGGTTTTTGTTATTTAATCGGATGTACTCGGGGTTCCCTTTCTTTCTCCAGGAGATCCCACAGCACCTCTCCAATTTTCCACTTGTCCTCCTCCTATTACCCTCCCCCTTTTTTTTATTTTACACCTCCCAGAGTGGATTGAGGCATTCATCAGCTGTGAATTTATGTTGGATTTTTTTTCCCTTTGAAAGCCAAACAGCACTGCGTGTAGTACAAAGTGAAAACAGACTTCCCTGGAGCTGGAGTGGAGAAAACGTGCTATCGTTAGATCCCTGTTTATTAGACAGGAAGAGGTTAAATTTTGCCGTCAAGGACGTGACCTCCGTTGAACCTGACATGGTTTAGCATCCACACCTCGTGCCTGCAACACACACACGCACACGCTCTCCATCCTGTGGCAGCAGAGCTCAGTTAAGATGCGGACATGGTCCCTGTCGCTCAAGCACTAGGGGCTTGTCGGTGCCAGCAGCTTGACTTAAACCCAGTGGTATTTCTCCCAGCCTACAGAGTCAACTTCCTGCCACAAGTGCACGTGATGCACAGCAGCAAAGCCGTCTGGGTTTTTTTCTTCTTCATTCAACAGAGCTATTCAAAAATAATGAAGTCATTCTTTTTCTAACGGCTCCAGACGCTGATGTCATGAACATCAGCTTTTTTTTTTTCCTCCTCTCCTAAATCTTTTGCTCAGTTGAAGAGCACTCTCCATGCGGGAGAGGCATCCTCAGTGTAAAGACAGGCGGGCTCAGACGACACTTCATGGATTGTGTGCGTGATAGGATTCAACTTGGTTATTTCCGGAGTTTGAATTCTTTTTTAATTTGATCTGGAACGGAAAGGGTTAACAGGCTGTGAATTCTTGATTGCCAACTCCCAGGATCGTATCTCCTGTAACTCAAATCAGGGCCATCTGCGCTGGGCGTATGCCTGCCTTCCCCCCTGGCCTACTGCACTCAAAGGCTCTCTGTGCTGTGGTTTGCCCAGCCCCGTCACATGACTTCTCTGAAAGTACCCCCTCCCTCCTCCTCCCTCTTTATTTCCAGTAAACTGTTTGAAAGGAGGGGGGTGAGTCAGAGTAAAACCAGCTTCCCTTTAACCGCAGCTTGTTAAAGAATTTGTCAACGTGGACTCAGGGGTGCATTTGTGTATGTGTGTCCGTGTGTGCGCTCCTGTGGACTGATTTGAATGTGTACCTTTTCTCCTCTTTATTCTTAAAGGGGATGTGGCTTCGGTTGCATCAGTGGTTCTTAATCAGTCCACTTCCTGTGCCAGACAGAGCGGGCGCGGGCTTGTCAGGAGTTAATGAGATGAACTTTAGCCGTCTTCGTGTCGGGGGGCTTGCGACTGCGCCGGAGATGTGTGTCATCTGCGTGAAAGATTTTCATTGAGAAAAAAAAGAGAAAGCAAAGCGAGAGATGGAGAGAAAAAAAACGTGTGTGGGTGTTGACTTGTGTGTAGGCTGTGCATAGATTTTTCCTTGTATGACACTTTAATTTTCCAAATAGGGCAGAGTGGCTGTTGGCAGCTGTGTGTCTGTTTGAACTATTTATCTCATCAGAACTACAACCACAACCGAAAAAACAAACAAACAGGGGGGTGCATGTGTGTGTATTTGTGTGTGGGGGGGGCAGTTCAGCAGCTTTTTCAAAATGACAAGTGAGCGGCAAGTTGTTTGCAGGTACAAAATAAACAGATATTATGTTTTTTGTACGGTACAATAAAGAGAGAAACTTCATTATCAAAGTTTATTCACACAAACTCCAAACTGATGACAAACACATCCTTTAAGCACAGATGTATATGCTGACAATCTCATGACTGTCCAAAGGAGACAGCAAATTGAAAATCACAATGTTTCCTCCCTGTTTTTTTTGTTTTTTTTAACCCTGTGGAATTTCCACCCATCATCCGACAACTATAACTTCAGATGTTTAGAGTATAATTTTACATACATAGGTAACTGTTCCATCCCCATGAATTTTAATATGGGGCTTAACCTCATTTCCAATAAATACCCTGGTGACATTCTTGAATCGGTGCTGGTCTCGTGGCAAACACTGGTATTCCTCCTTTGTAACTTTTATTTGTGTAAGTTTATTTACTGTAATCCAATTGAACAGACTGTGTTAAAAAAGTGTTTAATATGCTTAGAACAGCTTTACTGAGCAGAGGGAGATTCTTTATTTAGCACAGTTACAAGTCATTCATTTCCACACCATTACAGCTCATGAAACATGGAAAACACGCATTTTGGGAAATTATGCCTTTATTAAGCCTTTTAAAGTGTATATTCATTTAGTCTTATGGAGAATGAACTGACTGATGATAGGATGTGCATTGGTGGAAAAATCCAAACCCATAACAGATCAAATAGCACCGTAGGGAGTTTTTGGAAAGCTGCCAGGTAAATATGGTGATTTTCCATAAGCTGCCAACAACAGAGTCTGTAATCTAAATCCCAGCTATCTCAGATAGATGCTCCCATGGTCCAGAAATGCAGTGTGGAGAGGGAATCCAAGTACACAGTTCAAGTGCAGTAAATCTCAGTGTCACAAGTTGACTCATATGCGTACTAGCACTCTTCTGCACCCTCCCCTCACATCTCTTCTGGGACCCTTTGTCCGCGCAGCAGGGATATTTTCATGCTCTCTAAGCCGAATGTTCGACGGCAACTAATGTAACAGTACAAGTGTCACAATGCCAGATAGCAAATGGGATTCGCACACGATCTGGGTGGCACTGATTGTTTCTGCAGGACTCTGAAGTGTAACAGAGGAGGCTGTCAGGTGTCCCTGGTTCAGACACGGTCCTCAGCGGTTCGGCTGTAAACCAGCCATGCACATTCCTTCCCTCCCTGTCTCCCACCAGCTGAGCAGCTCCAACACACACACAAGCATAAACACACATGAACAAACGGGACAGGCTAGAATTAAAACTACAGGGTTGTCCAAGGAGAAACTTTCATGATTGGACATCAGCAGAGGCAGAAATTCAAATTGAGAACCAATCAGATTCTGTGTCCCTTTGCTCCCCCCACCACCATCATATTAGGCGACCTCCCATGTCTCTCAGATTTCCTGTCCACTGGGTTGCACCCCATAAAGAATGTCATCCGCACTGTACTGGTTTTGTTGACCATATTAGGTATGAACATGGGTTACAAGCTTTCCTACCTCCCTTCATTTATGTATAAAATAAATAACTATTTTTTTTACCCAGAAAATGATGCCTAAGTCCTTATAATTTACTAAAACAAAAAGTTGTTTTTCTGTGTTTTATCTTTCAGCTGACTTTATATTGATAAAACTATGCCATTTTGCAAACATCCTTCAATGATATTTATTATTTACTAGCAGTGAAACTAACATAACTATATGTCTGTATCAGCAGTATGGTCAAAAGGAATATTACATTATCCATTCAGAACTAAATCATCCATATTAATACTATGATAAATTGTATTTACTTTTATAAAGTAATTTGTAAGTGATATAGGCCTTTTCCATGAAAATCTACACATAGGCATCTCTTGAAATAGATTTCAATCAAGTTGAAAATCTATTTGAAATAAAAGCTTTCCTATAGTTCATATAGTAAATTTAGGCTCCTTTACTGTGTAGTTATTCCTGAAGAAAATAAAAAATTAAGGTTGAAATCATTTTGGTGGATAGTTTTATTGTCTTATTTCATTGCATACTTTTAAACATAGGTCTGTGTCTGGATAAATTATGAACACCTTTTAGGATTAATTCTGCTGAATATTTGCTCTCCATAATTATATAACGAAGGGAGGGAGGAAAACAAATTCTATTCTAGCATGAATTTCTAAATTAGTTACTTTTACATGTTTAAAACCTCCCTAAGAACAGAAGAAGGCAAAATTATCAAAATTGTGCTGCCTTTGCAAAAAAGTTTAAAATCTTGCATTTATGTGAGAAAATTCTTCAGAAAAAGTTCCTACAAATGTAGAAAAATATTTTTTTAAAACAGTGAAGGTTTTAGTTTTCTGAACAAAGACTGCTATTTAATCTGTTTTGAACAGATAACACTAATATGTTAAGGCCTGATCAAATAAATTTGCTTAGAAGGTTTTGGAAAATCAGGATGGTTAGCTCTTTTTGCTGTAAGCTTTTGATGCTGACAATGATAATTATCACAAGTAAAAGGAACAGGAAAAATATTTAACAGCTCCAAAATTCATAAAGAAAGAGAAGCAATGCTTAAATTTTTACCTACATTTTGAAGGCATCATCCGAAATTAGGAGATGTTCTTCAACAATAGTCTTTGTATTAGCAATGTTCCCAGAAATAGACAGATAATTCAACAGGTCTGAGCTTCTCTTCCCAGAAAAGGCATATTGAGGGAAAAATCTGTGTCATTGCTGTGAAAAGAGGCTTTTGTAGAGCCGTCAGGAGTGATAGAGCAAAACCAGCGGAAAACCTCTCAGTTTTCTGAGTCACAGGAATGACCAAATTGTCTTGCCTTTTCTTTCATTCCCAGACTCAAATGAATTAATAAAGGCCCTGAAACAAAGTTGATACATGCTGAAACCAATTAAATGTTCTTTTTAAAACAACAAAAAAGACCTTGTTATTCTTTAGAATATGTGACAGGTGAATGAGAGCATTTTGCAGTTGTCTTTTATATAATTCTGCTGGTAATCATTAAATCAGTGCTTAAACAAAATTGAACTGTGGATGTACTTTTCAGTCAATCATGTACAGTAAAATAAATTCTCATCGAACAGATTTCACATTTTTCTTTGCTGTCTGCTCGCAGATAGTAACTTTTTCTTCTAATCACTCCCTTTTTTACATTTATTTCTAGAAATTTGTTATCTATAATTACAACTATGCAAATATTTTGGAAAAAGGAAATTCTGTAGTAATGTTTTCAGATCTTTCATGTTAAAAAATTAGGCAGTTGAACCTGGGCGGGGTTCACAAGTTCAGACTCTCAAATTTAGTGTCTGAAAGTCCCTCAGGCGTTCTTTGAAATCCTATGGACTTTTAAAATTCTAAATGCTTTTTGCATATAAATATTTAACTGTTAAAGATATAATTTTTTGTTTGTCAGTTTCTTTTTGAGTGCTGTGATTGTCTAAAGCTTATTTTTAAAAAGCACATTTACAGGAGTGAGCAGATTCCCTTTTTGCAGCTGCCGCTCCTTCGGTCATTTAGAAACAAGTAGGTGAAAAATAAACAGGTCATTTGCAGATTTTTCGTTTCATTTGGGTGACAGAGTGTTTTTAGATTATAAAAAGTAAAAAATGAATGACTTTGACTGTCAGTGTTTACACTTTTAATTCTAAAGATGGGAAATTAACAATGTAAGTTGAAAGAGAAATTCTAAAAGCAGATGTGAGATCCAGAAATTTCATCCACATTAGCCAATATCAGTAATTCTAAATTTCTTTGGTGGCATTTTGAATGATTTTCCATGTATTTTGTCAAAGAAAATCCTTGAAAAAACAATTATAGTTGACTGCACACATACACATTCACAGAACCTTTTGATTCTCCTTCTACAGAAATGTTGAAACATTTAAAATAAAGACAAATTATTTAGTTTAATACTCATGAAACTAATCTTTCATTATTTGTATAAGTTGTTTCAGTTTAAACTGATCTCCTACTTATTTTCAAATGTAGCAGAAGTTAATAATTGTACATCCAGAATTTCTCATATTAAAACAGTGAAATGCACATTTTTACACTAATTGAAATGGTCATTAACAACAAAAATATTGTCAGTCATTAAGTTAGTGTGAAATTTAACTGTGTAGCAAAGACAATTCACAGCAATGTATAGAACAATGTAATTTATTATTTACTGTTGAGAGTAAAGTCTTGGAAGTTTGAAATTAGTCTTGTAAATGATATGTCATTTATTGCAAAAATTTAGTATAAAAACAGTGCAAGAACAGGAAATATTACCATGTATGAATGATTTTATCACACATTTTCCTCTTTTGCTGTTTTTCAGGACTTTGCATCACGGGCCAAACTATCCGTGCAGAAACTCATCCAGAGGGTTGGATTCTTTGGGATTTTAGCCTGTGCCTCTGTAAGTCAAATCATTCAACCATAGCCCTTTTTGTTTGATTAGATTTCTTTACTTTTCATTGTAAAAATATTGACCATATCCACACTTATGCAGCAATGTTGCACTGCTCAAAAGTGACAATTCTGAATATTTCTACAAGTGGGCATAAATAAGCATAAATAGATTCATATTTGACAAGAAACATCTCTAGACGCAATCAGCATCCTTTCAAAGTTTTCTGGTAGGAAACGGAAGTAAAAAAAACATTACTAAATGTTTTTTAATATTGTTGGACATAGATTTATCTCACAGTTTTCCTCTCTGTTCTTTACAAAATATCTAATCTAAGTCTAATTGCATCATTTTCCCCCCCTCAGATTCCAAACCCCCTTTTTGACCTGGCTGGAATAACATGTGGACATTTTCTTGTCCCGTTCTGGACTTTTTTCGGTGCCACGCTCATTGGGAAGGCAGTAATCAAGATGCATATTCAGGTAAGAATGTGCATTAAAGCAAATCATGCATTTGCTAGTCATCTTTTCCTCCAACCCTCCTTAAAGAAAAATTATCCTGAGAATTTATTTATCCAATTTAGCCTGTGTGGCTTCATATCAACTAGTATCTTCATATCCTATGTGTTTTATGTTGCAGAGAAACATTGAAACAAAGTATAAGACATGAATACACCTCAAAAGTCATTCAAACTGAGAGCTGTGTTTAGATAATGACTCACTGTCACGCACCGCATCTCTGCACTGTAGCAGCTGGTCGTAAGGAGGCCATTTTGTGGAGACAAAATAGGGGGAGTCAACCATTTTGTGAGTGCAGCTGAGGCAGCTCCTGAGCTCTGTACAGTAGGCTTGTCAGACTGCAGCAGACTGAGAAGTTACAGTAAAGGAAAAGCTACATTCTGACTGAGGAACTGCAGTTTGAAGGCTTGGCATCACTGAAGTTTCCTCTAATCCTGGAAAATCCTCAATTTGCGTCCAGGAATTTGTAGTATGTCTGTGATTACTGTCAGGAGGCTTAACTTTTTGTTTTCTAAGTAGATGCAGGAATTTGCCATTGTGACACACAGCTGGGGGTTAAGAGCAAAGCGTTTCTCTCTCTCTCTCCACCAAATTTCTTATTACACACAGAAAGCATTGTCCTGAACCAAAGTGAGGAAAAAAGATGTGTAAACTTAGTGAGCCCAAGTTAAAGTAGATCACTATTGTCTGTGGGGGGTCGATAGAGGGAGAGGGACAGATGGGGGGCAGGGGGGTTACACATACAGGCGACACAATCACACACACTGGACCAGATTACATCCAGGGGTCCCAGCCCCCCCACCCCCCACCCCCACCCCAACTGACGGTGTGTCCTGTGCCTCACAGAAAGGAAGTCTGCACCCGGCTCCCCGGCATGCCTGGGGGCCCAGCCCCTGCTCAAGCTGCTTGGTTTAATTTTCCTCAGACTTGAGTTTTGTCTCTGATGTAGTTTGCTTAGAATTTTACAGCGTGTGGTAGAAAAAAAAGAGGTATTAGACAATGGATCGGCAGACCAAGTGACGTTCTCCCCCCATTGGTCAAGATGGAACAAAAGGGGATTTTAGGCTTGTGTTTCTGTGTGTGTGCAGATGTGTGCAGCCTCGGTGCTTCAAAGCGTGTTTTTGATCTCTGTACCTGTGCTTCAGGTGTGCTCTCACCTGTCTCCCCGGAGAGCCTTTTTTTCTCTGCCACTTCCGCCCTTTATTGCTCATGAGCTTCACCTCTGTGCTTGTGAATAGTGACCGTCAGCGCTTTTGTGACGCAGCAGGTCACCTGAGGATGACGGCTGATGTCACTGAAGTGCTCACATTGGGACCCAGGGACAGGCGTCTATTCGAGAGCTGAAGCTTTGAGAGGCGTGGCGGAAAAACCCAGACTCTCAGTACAGCAGGAGTGGAATGAGGGACGCTGCCGTCACAATTTATTCACTCTATTCCTAAATTTGCATTATCAGAGCTGCTCAAGCATGTCGAGAATTGCTGAAAACTGATGTAATGCCTTCCACTGGTTGTTTGCGTATGTATACACGGATTATCACAAGGGATGCGTGTCCCTTATCGACATTATCACTGAACAGAAATTAGCAAGTCAAGACATTGTCATCAGTTTCCGAGCAGACCCATTTGAGCCATCTTAGTCTGCTTTCCTGCTGCTGGCTTTGTCTGGAGTGACAGATCATATATCACTGTTAGAGAAGAGGCTGTGGGCACACAAAAGCATAACCCAGTTAAATGACTGCAAAATGTCTTCAGTTCACCTCAAAAAAGTTTAAAGTAACAGTGTTTTGTTTTTTTAAGTAAGCTCACAGGTGACTGAGGTTTTCATTTTCCAACACTGGTACGTCTTAACTATGAGTGTCTCATTCATTCTTTTAACACAGAGGTATATTGTGGCTTAGGACCCACACAAAGAAAAGACAATAAATGACAGTACATGGTTGACCTGGTTACATAAGCGGACAGGAACACTGTAACAACTTATCAAAGCACTCTGTCGCATGAAATTAGAATAGTTGCTCAGGTCATTAGTGCTGTGTGATCATGGTCTGTGTTTCTGTACTGACTATATTTATGATTTTTTTACGTGTTTTCTGTTTAAAATCGTTAAGGAAGTCTGTTTCTAATTGTGGTCCATGTTTGAAATGAACAGTTTTGCATTTACACCAGGTCCTCTTCTGAGTCACATCCATTTAAATCACATGGCTTCAGCTTTAAATTCAAATGATTTCCTGTCTTATCTTTCTTTGTTTTCAGAAATCCTAGGCAGTTATGTAGAATAGGGCCTCATGAGTTTTAAAAAATGTTTTTTTTTACCTGCTTAGAGCTCTCACAGGAGAACTATATTTGAAAACAAGGGAAAGCATATTTTTTAGAAGTTTCATATAATTGTCAACAACTGAGAGACGAGAAATGGACCTTAAAAATCAGGTCATTTAGACTGTGGGTACTTGAGCTGATATGAGCCAGAATGGCTGCTAGCCGACTGTTTTTTCCTGCTGTCTCTGTGACTAACAGCAATTAGACCGGACAGGAACCAAGTCCAGACCCCCTCTGAAACAGTGACACATAACCTTTGATTCCTATGCTCGTCTTTTCATGTGTTTTCTTAGCACACACACTCACTTTTCTGATGATAGCCTCTTTGATATGCTGAGCTAGTGTTCTGTGTTGGTCTATGTGTCACAAAGCCCTGGCCTTGTATTACTGCCCCCCGTGACAAACCTTCTCACCCGTTATGGCTTCTTTAAGGCCAAACCACCTTAGACTTACAAGGCATTGGTTTGAGAGTAATAAGCAGTGTGTGTGTGCATGCGTGTCTGTGATGGGAAATTAAAGAATCCCAGGTTAAACTGTGATTTACCCTCTGCCAGTGCCCTTATGGTTCAGTAACTGACTCTATCTATGTGTGTGTCTGTTTCTTTGTCATACAGAAACTGTTTGTGATCATCACCTTCAGCAGGCACATCGTGGAGCAGATGGTGTCCCTTATTGGGTAAGTACGCCTCATCTTGTGCGTGTATTTGTGCGTGTGTACGGTGCTATCACACATGAAAGTATTAATACAGAACTTGAAAGTTGAGAGAAAGATGACGCCTGGTTAACAGTACTTTGTGCAGACCTTAAATGGATGCTTTGTCACATTTTTCCCCCCTTATAGCTTTACTCTCTGTTTAGTTAGATGATTAATGGCTTGGATTTTTCCACTGAATGACTGTGGGCATGAACATGCTTTGGGTGCTTCACAGGACAAGGTAGACTTTTCTCTCATATAAAAACCTCTCCTCTGCTTTATGGCTTTCTGCTTTGCATGCTGTACCTGGTCTCACTGGGTTTACAGCTGGAAGATGAGCTGAATATACCAAATATATTTAAGAATGAAGAAAACATACTTTTTAAAAGAGTGGCTGTTGGGTTTCGGAAATAATGGCAGAATGTAACTGAAGCTGAATGGGTGCCTGTGTTCGGTGTGGGTGCCATGATGGGTGTCCTTGCAGAAATGCCAGAGGCTGCAGCTGGAAACTACCCTCTACACACCTGCTGGTGGGAGTGCCTTTTATCACACACCCATACACACTCAAGATTATTCATATACTCCTCAACTGCCTTTATTTTTCTCCCACATGCACACACACTCATGCACAATTACACTTGAGCACTGTGGGTCTCACACACACGTTTTCGGTGCTGAAATCAGGCGGTGAGATTGCATCAGCTCTCCGTCTTGCCATGTTGTCCTTTTGCACTTTTTCCGTTTCTAAAATGAGTTCCTGAAGAAGGACACAGTCGAGATCAGAGATTAAGAGTATTACGGCTGTACTTTTCTCAGTTTATACATTTTTTCTTATCTTTTGTAAATCTTCCAATTTATGAAGAGACAGAACTTTTTTCATGTTACGCCACAAACTGCAGCAGATGAGATATGATCAGTGGAGATTTTTTTACGTGAGCTTAAAAAGAAAAGGTGCACGTGAAGCACGCACCTTGGTTGCATTGGTTGTAAAATACCACGTGGCAGTCGCTGTTCATTGAGCTGCAGACTCTGTGTGACAGATGATTGGTTAGTGACAGGTTTCAGTCTTACTCACTGTTCATGTCTTTTTCTGTGGGACATTTCCCCCCATTACAACCTCTCAACTGTCAGCTTCCTTCCTCGTAAAGGGCTTTCCACCTTTACCTCTAATTCTGTGTCACTCTCACTCTCAGTCACATATCACCTTATGAATGGGTGGCAGCCTCACCGCCTTAACCATTTCTGTGCTGACAGACCGCAGTGCTAACTGTCAAGCTATGTTAAATACTGTCACCTTTGTCTCTGCTCTCTGTCTGCTGCAACTCCGGTTGTCCTTTAAACTCAGCTGCATCATTCTTCAACATTTTTACCTTAATCAGTTTCTGTTTTTTCCAAACGCATTCTGAACAGATTCATTCACCTTTTTAAAAGTTGTTTTATTTATTGCACGAACAGATCTCCAGAATTGTGATTTAAGATTTCTTACAAATGATCTTGAAAATGATCAGGCTTGTTTTTGATTTAATGTTTAGTCTTTTAGATGTAATACAACTGATCACATCTGGTCTTTGATTTTTTACAGCATTTGCTATGAATATTTTTTAATAAAATGTGTCGTTATTGCAGATTTGAAATATTTTGGCTTTATTTATTTATTTTTGCTTGGCTCTGGATTGGGTCCCTTTTAAATTTAGGGGATTGCATTAATTTCTTTGAGCGACTGAAGTGGCCTTTGGACTTTGGCTTTGCTGATCTCATTATTGGATGACATAATGCAATACTACACTTCAAAACTTTTTTCTTTTGTTTGCCCATCTGCTGTGCTAGTTGGCACAAACACTGATTCCCATGGAGATAACCTCTGAGGGTGCCATATCCCATACAAACTGTTTTTTGCACTGAAGAATCATCTAAGCTTTTCATATTTTGTATATATATAATGTATCTATGTATCGACATGTCTATATGTATATCCTGTTGTTTTATGCTGGAGTTAGTAACAAAAATAAATTCCCTTTGGGATTATTTAAGTATTTTATATTATGATTCTGATTCTAATATACACTTAAAACTTAGAAATCCCACCAAAACAAGTTTAAGGAAATTGTTTATTTAGGTTTAAATGATCATTCATCATGAATGTTATTTTCAGCCAGATGATCAATTTTAAGACAAAATACTTTTGGAGTGAGTTATTTAGAATTTGGCCTTTTTATTACACTTTTGGGTGAATTCCATCAAACACCAAAACTTGGCTTTTAGAGATAATGAAATGAAATGAAAGCTTTTGGTGCCAGATAGAAAAAATTGGGGAGTGTGAATATATGTTCAGTGCTAAATGTGATTACAGAATGTTGATCAGATCAGATACTGAATTGTTTTTTTTAAAAATTAGCAGCACAGATCAGTTCTTTTAATTGTGTTTTATATTCAATTTTTTAATTGACCTCTAAATTACAGATTTTAAAGGCTCTTAAAGTTTCATCTACAGAGTTTTATTTTTTGCAGCATAATAAGGTTAGGTTAAAATGCATTGATTAGCTTATACTTCTTCTTGTCCTTCTGTTGAATTTGAGAATATAGGGTTAGGGTTAGGGTTAGGGTTAGGGTTAATATCTTATTTTATTGTCATGAATATTTTTATAACTTGAGAAGCAATTTTTTCTTTGGATAAGTAACTGTCTATACAAATTTCTGTTTTGTAGAGGAGGTTTGGATCTGAGCTTCAAACCCTCTCAGGATCTAAAACTGTTTTTTATCTCTTATGCAAACCATCAACAAAAATGAACAACTGCAGTTTTTTTATTCACCAGGTTAAAAAGGTTCTACATGCAAATTACGTTTTTGATCATGTAACACTTAAGTGACTCAAGATTTCCATGATACATTTCGGACAGGATTTCTTTTTAAGAATTAGATCATATAAAGATACATTGGGAAAAAAATACATGAACTGAGCCTCCCATCAATGAAGTGTTTTCTCTTGTTTTCAGTTATTTGCTGTTAAAACTGTCGGTTCAGAACTGAAGGAATAAATTAGACAATAAAAAAAATTTAAAAAAAATAAGCATGTCAATGAGACATCTATATGTACACTTTGGGTAAAAATGTGGCTCTCTTCCAGATTAATTTCAGCCTTTTTTCTTGCATGCAAAGCATTTAAAGAGAAGTATATGGATTTTTTTCTTTTCAGCAGTTTGTTAATGAGAAAGATGACTTTGCTTTATGCTGTTACGTAGTCACCGTAAAGTCTTACAGGGCTTTATAACAAAAACGGTTAACTTGAGTGGATTGCGCTGTGTCGCATCAGACTTGCGTGGGATTTTATGCATCCTGTGACTAACTTAATGATCATCAAGACCAGCCGTGCATGTGCAGTAATATTTTCTCAATATGAACAAGGTTTTGATCAATAACTCAGGTCTGCTCAGGTTTTTCAGTTTTGATTTTTTAAACTCTGAATAAATGAGTCCTATACTGTAAAAAAGGAGATGAAAATTTAATTTTAGATGGTAATTTACCTAGTCTTCTGTCACAACATGCAGCTCCTCTTCTTTTGATTGTCTTTTAGATGAACATTGAGAACATTTTTGAACATGCAAGTGAGGTTGATAACCCCTGAAATACTCCAGACAATGGGTGATGCCCTGCTGCTTTGCTCCACAGAACAAAAGCGCAACAGATTTATCTCTTTTGTGCCCAGTCCTCCTGGTCCTCCTTTCTCTTATCCCAGCAGGGGCTTTGTCAGCCAGTAAGATGGTGATATAAAGCAGGAAAGGCTGAAAATCACCCACTGCATGCAGTGATGAGATGCTGTGTTTAGGCTTTGATTTGTGCAACCTCTTCAGCTGGGAAAAAAAGAACTGTTCCTGAATTTTAGAAAACCTGTTGAGGCCCATCCTAAGGTTTTTGGTGTTGATGTGCTTGTGATTCATTGCCCGAAGGATTCCATTGAGTCAGCTTAGTCTCTGTCACTGGTGACTCTGATGAAACTAGCTTCAGTTAAGATGGGCTTTCGGGAATAAAGTGAATTTGAGCAACATAAGTTTGATCTTTAGTATCTCATCCTCCGCATTCACACCTGCTTTTCAGATAACCTCAATCCATCATCTTAATTGAGTCACCCCTCTCTGGGTCTTGTCTGAAGCTTGATAAATCTTTCACAGTCATGTGCCATGGGATTGAGTATCACTGTCAGACTCTTGGGGAGAAAGCCATTGATATGCAGAAAGGAAGAATCAAGACCTGAGAATCTTATCCAGTAGAGGCCGGTGTATTGGGTCCATGGGGGGAACCCAGCACGTCTCCATGAGAATGCACCTATTTCCATGTGAGTCCATCTCCAAGGCAGGAGTCCATTACCAGCACAATGGGCTTCCAGATGGCTGTTCCTGCTACACAAGGCTGTCAGCATTAGGAGCTCACAGCAGGCTGGGCCACTCAGGGGGAGGCCTGGGGAGAATCACAGGTCAGGGTGGGCCAGCCGGCGGTTCTTTGAGCCTCTCACCCAAACACACTAACACTTTCCAGATTACCATCAGCAAGTCAGTGTAATTTTGGTTTTAATGAATGTCTCTCTCTCTGTGTATTCAGAGTAAAAGAATAATCAAATTTACACAGATTTAGTTTCTTTGTGTGTGTGTTTTTCTTTTATGAGAAAAGAACACAATACATTTGATGCAAATGTATATATCTGAAAAAAATAAGATGACTTTGATGTCAGGATTAGCTCATTGTTCATGTCACAGCAAACAATTTAAATAAAAAATGTATGAGGATTTAAATAAACAAATGATATTTAAAAGAGTTTGCAAATAAATTACTCTTTTTGCTTCACTTTTGCTCTTTGTGCTAAACCCCAGGTAGACCTGGGGTGAAATTGCTGAGAATCATGCAAATCAAACTATTTTCATTATTCAGAGTGGGGCATTTACTTGTACCCATGTAAAAGTGCTGAGAGGAGAAAAGTCTGTTACAGCTTG